TTTGCGGCCTAGGAGGTAAAGGGGACGTTTTTCTGGAGATTAGGGAAATGGGGATTGAAATCCATCTGCAAGGAAAGAAATTAAGGATGCTCCAGTGGGGTCAATTTATAACTCATTTTACACTCTCCCCCCTTATCCCCCAAACACACACCATATTAAGTGCAAATGCGGTCATGAAAAATGTGTAATTGATTTGAGATGCTGCGAACAAATAAACACGAACAGGTCAGGGCGGAAAAAAAGCAAACAAAACTTTAAGTGGAAGAAAAGATTTCCAAAGAGGGGGGTCAAAAATCTGTGGCCTTCACTCCCCCCTCCAAGGCTCGCTGGTTCCCTCCCTTCCTTTCTCCGCCTCGCTGGGAAAGGAGCCTGGCAGCTCTGGGGCAGAGAGCAGCGAGGCGGCGGCGGCTCTGTGCTCCGGCGCGGCTCTGGGGGCTCGGGGATGCCAACGCGCCCTGGCTGACGTCTGGCTGTGGGGCTGTGATGTCGAGCAACGATGGCGCGGTGTCAGAGCCATTGGCCGCCAGTGGTCATCAATCAATCCGTGGCTATAGCAGAGGGAGAGAAAGAAAGACAGGCGCCCAGCGGAGCCCGGGACCGCGAGCGCCAGCGCCAGCAGTGCCAGCAGCGGAGGCTGTAGCGGAGGCGACGGCAGCTACGGGGGACTGAGCGAGTAAGGCGAGCTGGTGCTCCGGGAAGGAAGGGGGAGCTGTGGTCCAGACCAGCCGGCTGTGAGCCCGGAGGGCAGGGCGAGTGTGCGTGTGCGTGTGCATGTGAGTGTGTGTAGTCACTGAGGCTCCCCTTCTCCCCCCGACTGCCCAACCTAGATTTAAAACAAATAAACCAATCCAAAGTAGAGAATTCCGCGCTACCCCCGCCCCACCATATATAGACACCACACGTTGCCAGAGGCACGGGAGAAAAGTCTTGCCCTCTGTCTTTGAAAGAATGTGCCAGCCCCGTGTCCGCAGTGCTGGAGACAAGTTCAGGTGTAAGTGCGGCGAAAGGGAGGGCGCTCTGTGGATAGAGACACGTGGAACTTTGTATTAACGTCGTAGGAAAAGCCTGGCAGAGAAGCTGCGGCAAAGAGTGTGGGCATAGCTCTGGCATACAGGGATGCGTAGGTGGAGGTGGGCAAAACGAAACAAAATAAAAAACAGAGCAAGGGGGTGTGAGTTGGGGAAAAGCACACAGTTGTGCTCCAGAAGGAGAAAAGCGAAGAATTTGCGGAGTTGGGACAAGCAGGTTCCAAAGTCAGGCCAGGCTGTCTTGCTACCTTCTTGGGGCAAGTTGTTAAAATGAGCATCCTTGTTTAACAGGAAATTGTCGGCTCTTTTCTCATAGGTTATGCCGTGAGGGACAGACATGGGTAGAGAGGTTGTGAGCTATTCTTTTGAAACTTTTGGTGAATTGGACTTCAGGTTTGTAGAAAGTGGAGACAGGTATTTTATTCCTCAGCCTTTAATCTCTTCATTGACAGTGGACTTTAAAAGGTTTTCCAACCGGGTTCCTGGAAAAATACATAGCAGTTGCACAGTTTAAGGGACTGGAGAAATGATTGCTGTCTAGGAAATGCAAAGTGTGCTTGTATGATTTTTCTTTAAAGAGAGAATCAAACTATCACCAGCTCGAATATTTAGCAGTGTGAATCCCTTTTAAATTTTTCTTTAGGAGTCCTGGCATTTAGTACTGGGTTCCTTTGTTTTGTGGAGTAAATGTGTTGAAATATAAAATGCAAATCAAAAAAAAAAAAAGTAAAAGAACTGCTCTATTTAATGTAACTGTGACAAGGGTAAGATATAGTAAAAGCTGATCCTTAGGAAGCTTTTACTGCCAAAATATCTGAAACAAGTTATCACTTCTAGATACTTTTAGGCAGTGTGTCTTTCTGTCTTGTTTCATGCTTTCTCCAAAATTCTCAGGTTAGACGAGGGGACTGTTACCTTTATTCCCATCCTAAGAGTTTACCAAGAAAGCAGTGTTTTTCCATGTGTTTCATATTCTTAGGTTATGTTCATTTTGAGATGCAAGTGGGGATGAGCACAGCATTTAAAAAAAAAAAAAAAAATAAGCCTTTACTTGACTTGTCTGTAAAGGTGTCTTGTGAAAGTTTTGAAGCTCTCTGCCTCAGTCTGACATTTTCTTCAAAGGACTCCAGATAAAAGAAGATAGACGCTGCAGGTGCACTGTTTCGATAAAACATTTGAAAGAGAACATGGTAAAGAGGAATTCAAATGAGGTGCCAGCCACCCATTTAGCCCTTCAGAGTTAGAGGGGTCTGTGCTTGCTGATGAAAAGATGTTCTATTTGTCTTGCCGGGGCAAAGGTGCAAAGAGGCACAGATGTTCACTTGATGGAAAAGGCAATCGGCAGGTTGACTTTAGGATAGAGCAGACCATTTCGGAATGGGAATTGATTACGTTCAAAGGTCTGACTCCTCTTGACTTCAAATACAAGAACTTGGGAGGGGGAATGTAATGCTAACTATTTAAGTCTTGCATAGATATTTAAATGTAGATATGTATATTTCCAGACCACATTTCAGTCAAAAAACCCATTGCTGTTGAGTTGATTCTGAGTCATAGCGACCCTATAGGACAGAGTAGAACTGCCTCATGTTGTTGTTGTTATGTGCCATTGAGCCTGACCTGGCTCATGGTGTCTCCTCCTTGGGTTTCCGAGGCGGTATCACTAGGGAAGTAGATTGTCCCATCTTCCTTCCGAGGTGGAACTGCCCCATAGGATTTTCAAATAATGCCATAATCTTAGCAGATTGCCACATCTTCCTACAGAGAGGCTGGTGAGTTTAAACCTCTGACCTTTTGGTTAGTAGCTGAGCACTTAACCACTGTGCCAGCAGGGCTCCTTAGGCCACATTTAGCTTAATTAGTGAGTTGACTACAGAAAAATTTAAACAGTTTCTGGTGCCCGATGCAATGGGATTGTTGCTCAGGTCACAATGGTCTAGACATGAATCTGGCTTCTCTGCTTCTTTACGTTCTGCATTTCACACAATAGGCTTTGATGGCAGGAACATAAGAATTGCCATGTAATTTTTACACCACTCTCTAATTTATGCAAACGCTAAGTTCTCACAGTCTGAAAATGTGTATTTTTTCTTCCTCTGTGCTTTGATGGCTAACATTCTTTTTAATGACAGTCATTTCTATAACAGGAAGATGTTTTCATTTGTATTTACTTTTCAGCGCCACGCAATTATGCAGTTTTGCGCTTCAGTAGTGTCTTAGTACTTTGTGTCTCAAAAGAGAATTACAGTACTTAGAACAGGACTGCAATTTGAAGCAGGTGTTGTGTTTTACTGTTATGCAAAATAACAGTAAAATATAATTGAAGGGGAAATTAAGGAACCAGCTGCAAACTTGGTATGAAAACTGCTACATTATGATTTGTAAGCAGTTCTTATAGATATCTTGCATCAGAGGAGCAGGGAAAGATTTTAATTTAGTTAATCCTACTGGCCGGGCTGTCTATCAGTGGTGCTTAGAGGACTCCTACCTCCCATGAAGTCAGGAAGAAGAAAGAGAACCCAAAGTGCCACTGTTTAAAATGCAAGAGCACCAGGGATTCATCTCTTGGAAGTGCAGTTGCACATTAGGAACGTAGGCAAGGTGGGTGTTATTTAGCTTGCTTTGCTAATATGAAGATGGCAATGATTTGAGCAGAGCTCTGTGGAGTTTCTTAGCCCAGCCAGCATATGGAGGACTACACAAGCCCCGGGTTGTAGAATAATAAAATAAATGGCCTATGGCAGGCCATCTGCCTTTTTCTCGATATTTTAAGGTGTTTCATGCCAAATTTAAATCCAATCTTATTATTCTAAATATTTTTATTTTAGATAGCAGCTAAAATTCCTAGAGCTTCATGGTGCACATGGCGAACGTGTTCTGATGTGGGGTCCTTAAAATAAGAGCGTGCATTACCCAAGGAGTGTGCTGTCCATTTCTCTGCTGCACTGATCAATGGCAATCGCTTCGATGCAGAGATTTGCTTTCCTCAGGCTTTGCACACCTGCTATAAAAATAGACATCTTCATTTCAGAACCTAGTGCAGCAAGTAATATATTGACATTTATAAAAAAGAGTCAGAGGTAATGGAAATTAAAAAAAAAAAGAGAGAGAGAGAAAGAGAGAAAAACCAACTCTTGAGAATTATGCAGCACCAAGGATAAGGAGGCAGATGTAATGGGTGCCCCGGTTTACTGTTCTAAGAGGGGAGGTAATGAATGCATTCAAAGTGGTGGTCTAAGCCTGAATGTGTTTGACTTTCTCTGAGTGACTAATGTGCTTAAAGACATGACATTTAGTGAGAAGGAATTGCCTTACCATAAAGTTCTTGGCCTGACTGAGCTGTATATGTATACCAGACATTGAGTCCCTAGGTACTTTGCGTGTGAAAGAACAGTTGTGTATGGGTAGTGTGAGAATATTTGTATGTATTGTAGTTATACACAGGTATCTGTTAGGAGCTTAGCACTTTAAATTTATATTTGTCATTGGGTTATATGGCTGTTATAAGCATTGTGATTTCAAATCATTATAGGACATCAACTTTGTAGAGACCAAACATTCCAATTAGCAGGGAAGGTTTGGAAGATTCTCCACTTACAGCACAAACCATTTATAGCTAGACACCATGGCAACTGTGGATATGCCCCTTCCATAATTCACATTAAGTGCCATAGTTATAATTAAAGAGGAAATCTTAGTTTGAACACCATTGAGATGATTTGCTACCAGCCAGCAATGTCATACAAAGTGCACTGTCCACTCTAAAGTGCATGCAGGGGAGAGTGTTGGGAATGGTTGTATCCACAAAGCAATAACAAACATTCAGATTTTTTTCTGAATCAATTTCATATCCAAGTGTCAAATTTGAAGTCTTTTAGAACACCCTCTTTTTCTTTGTTCTCATTACATATGTGTGTGTGTGTGTGCGCGTATATATATATATATACACATACGTATTTTTTTTCTTTCCAGAAACACTCAGCGGTATTTATGAGTAGATCCTTGGATTCAGAGGTTGGCTGAAACGCACCATGCCTGCTTCCATCCTTTGTTCTGGAAAGTTGTGAATTGCTCATGCCTATAGGGAGGAAGGATGGCACATGGGATTCCTTCTCAAGGCAAAGTTACCATAACGGTGGATGAGTACAGCTCAAACCCCACCCAGGCCTTCACACACTACAACATCAACCAGAGCAGATTCCAACCGCCACATGTACATATGTAAGTATTGCTCATGACCTTAAAATAATTAGCACTGAAGAAAATAGAAATAAAATAAAGCATTCAGCAGTGGCTTCTGCCAAGAATAATAAAAGTTACACCATTTGCGACACAGACAGATGTCTGTGGTTCCAGATACAGTTTATGAGTAATCCCCTATATCTGTGTGATGTTTTATATTTTCAGAGCACTTTTAACTACAATGTGACATTAGAGTATTCAGATCCTCTGAAGGATGGTAGAGTAGGTCTTCCATATTTTGTAGATAAGAACAGAGAAGTTAAGGCATATGCCTAAGGCTGCTTAGGGCATTTTGGCAGTCTCCTGATCCCCAGGTCAGTTTGACGAAATATTTCTTTAACATTTCTGTAGGTTTTTGTTTTTTTTTTCTCACACCTCACTACCCCTTTACATCTATCTGGGAAATAGGCCTAATTGGGACTAATTGTCCTGCCATTGCTAAGACCATTGTCTTGCCTATCACTAGTGGGACGTGTGCTGCATGCTGCAGGACTCAAACAATAAGGGGAACAAAGAATTAAGGGACAGTGGAACAGTTTGTTCCAAGAATTGTAGTTTTTCTCACTCCCTAATACTATTTAAATCTTGTTAAGGTTTAAACTGTTTAAGAAACAAAGTGTGGGAGAAACCCAGAGGCAAGGATTTTGTAGCACCTGGTTGTAAACCAACTTTTTTCCAGATCCTCTGCTATAGGATGTGCTGGGCTTTCAGCGAAGAGGGCAAAAGGTCACCATCTCCCTTGTTTAGTCAAGGCCTGGTGCTCATTCTCTATTAGACCCTTCCAATGTCTAACATGAGTCTTTCGTAGTAGGACTAAATCTCTTTGAAAACTATTGTGTAGTCAAGATAGAAAGGAAGTTGGAGCTCTGTTGACTGTTTTTGCCACTCCTGGCAGAATTGAACTCGGGGCATGTCTAACTCACAAGCTTTTCTTTTATGTAATTGTTTCATTTGGACATTTAAAAAATAGGAGAACCCCTCTACCCCAAACACACATGCACACACACACACACACACACACAATACCCCCCTCAAATTAAGAAACATTTTCCAAACAAAAAGGTCTTTCCCTTGACTGCCTGGGTATTTGGATAAACATAGGATGTTGCTTTGTAAGAATATTCTGTAGAGTCATTCTGTCACCTGTGATGAGATTGCTGCCAAGTGGCCATACTGAAACAACATGCTCAAGCAAAAACAGAAAAATCATCACAATTGGTCAGTGCTAAGAATTTTTAATTTCTAAGAATTTTTGTACTTTAAGTCAGAATACTCTGATTATAAAACGTAGCTCATTTGTGATTTTAAAGAAACGTTTTCAAGATGCAGTTCTTAAGATTTTTCTTGGTTAAAATGACTTTTCTGAACAATAAATATCTGTTCATTTCAAATGTTCTTTTATTTTTACTCCTCTATGCATTTATTTTCCTTGTCTTCAAATGTGTTATAAATTGTGTGCGAGTCAGACTTCAGCTCTGTTTTGCACTGGTGTGACATTTTGTGTTAAAGAATTACAGAGAACTTTGTGGATCCTGTTTCTAGTTAGGCAAAAGGCAGTATGTCTTGTCCCAAATTCCTTGGAAAATAACTGATGTGGAGCCTCAGCCTGGTCTTTAGGTCTGTAGACATCTGCTCACTTGTTCTTGTCCATAATATTCCACTGGTGAACAGTGAATGCACAAAGATATTTGAAAAATTACACAAAGTAGGTGTAACCTTAGCACTGATCTGCTTAGATCTAGCCATGAAAAATGTGAAGGATCAACTTATTCCGCTTGAAAAATCGGGCTTGTAGTACCAGCCTAGACAGCTGTGGACGTCCTTTTATAATGCTGCTGACCTTGAATAGAGGAACCTTCACAGTCTAGCTCTAGCTTTACCGTCATCACCTAAATCCTCTACTCGGGCCACACAAGTCTGCTCACTGTTACCTGAGCACACCTTGGGCCTTTCCATCTCGGTCTCATTGCCCTCACTGTTACTCACAGTGAAGACTCATCTATGCTCTGGTCTTCAAATGCCTCTAGACTAAGTGAAGCCCCTCCATTTCTATGAAATTTCTTTTACAGGCACCCCCCAATCCAAATTGTGCCCCAGCGTGATGCTCCTAGTCGCTTGGCATTTACCTCTCACTGCCTCCATTATTATTTTTCTTTATATATATACACCTCTATATATATCCTTTCAACTACTTGGTTTGCTTCTTATAGGCAGGAATTGTGCTTATGCATGGGTACAATACTGATTGATCAATTGGTCAGTTTTGCATTAAGAAGAGAAATTATGTTTGATGCTTGGAGATTTTCATTGAAACTTTTCTATCACCTCTTGGCATTTTGAGTGTTTGTATGAAGATGTTCATAGCTAAGATGCTCAATTACCTCTTCCTTAGCTGTACAGTTACTTGCTAGTGACCACACTATTATTTTCTAGGCCTGGTACCCAGTATAGTGACTGACACATAGTAGGTGTTCAAGTGTTTTGGTTGAATGTAGTTATGTTCTGTTTCCTGCCACATTTTTTAAAAAATGGCCCTTAGTCTAAATAGAAACTTAAATTGGCTGGAAAATATCCTTCTAATGTTTAGTCTAAAATTTGTTCAGTTTTTCTGAAATTTTCAACATGTCTGGGCTGAGCTTTGCTCCTCTCCCTAAAGATATTTTGTCTTTTCCACTTGAATAGTTTCTCATTTATTTTGTAAGGGATTGTGAAAACATTTGCCTTTCCTTTTATTACCTTGTACCTGGGGAAGTAGTTGAGACAAGTCTTACAAGGACTTGTGACACATTGCCTGGATTGGTGTTAAAACCCTCATCGTTTAAATAATCTGTTTTATTTATTTATTTTTTCATGCAGTTTAGTGAAGGTAGTTGGCATTTTTGCACCCTCCATAGAGAAAGGCTCATTCCTCATCGGGCAGTTTTCTTCCCTTCTCTAGGCCTCAGTTTACTCATAACTACCTTCATGATGTTGTTGTTGTTGTTATGTGCCATCGAGTTGGACCCGACTCATGGCGACCCCTCCTTGGGTTTCCGAGGCAGTATCACTAAGAAGTAGATTGCTCCATCTTCCTTCCAAGGAGTGGCTGGTGGGTTTGAACTGCCAGCCTTCTGGTTAGCAGTCAAGTGCCTTAGCCACTATGCTACCAGAGCTCCCACCTTAATGATAGTTGAGGATTTTTTAGCACTGACCTAGTAAGATTAAGAGTACAGTTAAGGGGGGAAACAAAGATAAATACAACCTGGTCCCTGTCTTCACTAAGTTCATTTTTGATTTCAGAGCTGATGTTAACAATTGGCTTTAACAGTTCCATACTTCGTCTTAGTCTGTCTTTCACTTGCAAGTTCTAACAAGGCTACCTTCGAACCTTCTAAGAATCACTGGCCTGGATTTCTGCCTGTGACTTAGGGGAATTTTTATTTGTTTATTGAGAAATACTTTATAAAAAGAAAGCTATTTTTTGAGAGAGGAATTTTACAAAACAATTCTATATAAATGTGGAAAAGACAATGAATGACATAGTGGAGCAGGAGTTAAGCCAGAATTTGTGTGTCCCTCGCACCCAGACAACTGAACACACTAATAGAAGGCATGATTGAGAACCAGCGCTTAATAGGACTTCATTTGTTTCCCTCACAACTCCTTCCTCTTTCCAAAGCAGAATGTTGTGAAAATTATCTAATATTTTTAATGATGATGGGGAGAGATGCTGAAGGGATCAACACAGGCCTGAAAACAGAGTAAGTATTTTGTATGGTTTTAATTGTCTGAGGCCCAATAAAATATTATAAAACCTTATTAGTAGGGTGCCCATCTGTTTGTCTCAGCTTTAGCATTGCAAGCTCCGCTTTCCAGAAAATCTCTCAGTCCCAGTCTACCCAGGACAGTTGGTTACCCTACTGGGGTCAGTTCCTCATCTTTTTGGATCACAGATCCATTGCTAGAAAGTCGAAGGAAGTTTTTAGTTGTAGTCACTATCCTTGGCTGTGCCTTTGGTTGTTATCCCCAGGATCTGCCTTACCCAGCTCTTGTTCTTTGACCCTTGTTTTAGAAAGGCAGTGTAACATGGTTAACTTCACCAGTGGAATCAGATTGTTGGATATGAAACCTGGTTGCACTACTTATTAACTGAGTAACCAACTGTGGAGAAAAGACGTATTTTCTCTGTGTTTACTTTTTCTGTAACATAAAAATATTATCTACTGCAAAAGGTTGTGGTAAAGGTTTGAAACAGTATTTGTTGCATGTAAAGTCCTTAGAGGTGTACATAGTATATAGTCTATACTCACTGTTATTAGCTGTTATCATTAATAATTGTTCTATTAATTCAGAATTTTCTAGTCTAAGCTGTCTCAGATTCATTCTAATAATAGTCAGTGAAGTGTAAGTAGATGTATAATAAATAAGAAAACCACTGGTAATAAGTAAGAAGGTAACCATCTTTGGTAAGAAGTCATTGCAGGCAAAACACCATGGAACCTTTTCTAGGAGGGAATTTTGGCTGTCAGGGTTGGCAGGTATCCTGAATTCCTAGTGCCTGTCAAGATCATAAACAGTCTAGAAGTGTCTCACCTACTTCTAGTAACTCCTGGAGTTGCTGGGGGAAAGAAATCCTGTCATCCATGTGCTGCCTCCCTGTTCTTTACAGAATTACAGAGGTTTTCCTGCACTTGTCTTAGACCTAGGCCCCCTGTACTCTCTATTTCAGGCTGCCGTAATTAACCAGGATTGAGTCCAAAGGACACAGCCAGGGCTTGGTGGCTGAAAGTGTGATTGAAATCAGAGATCTGTGAACAAATGCTAATCTTGTCAGTTACTGGTTTGGCTAGATTATGATGGATACGTTATGGAGCCTCAGACTTTTCATCTGTAAAATGGGTTTGCCATCCTGTTAAGGTGGTTATGAGTGTTACATGAGATGATGTATATCATGATAGTGCCTGAAAGATAGCACTTGATAAATAGAGGCTATGATAATA